CCAAAGGTGGGATTTGTGTCACCCTGTGCCATATTGGGGTCCCCAGGACCCTTGGTGTCCCCAAGAGTGTCCCCAAAAGGTGGGATTTGTGTCACCCCATGGGATAACGGGGTCCCCAGGGCCCTTGGTGTCCCCAGGGGCTCTTCATAACATCCCCCCATGGGCTGACGGTGCCCCCAAAGAGCTCGGATCCCCCCAGGGCCGCACGAAGGCCTCCAAGGGCTGGCAGCCCCCGCTGACGCCCCCCCCCCCCCAACCGCAGGGCAGAGCGGCGCCGGCAACAACTGGGCCAAAGGCCATTACACGGAGGGGGCCGAGCTGGTGGATTCGGTGCTGGACGTGGTGAGGAAGGAGGCGGAGAGCTGCGACTGCCTGCAGGGCTTCCAGCTGACGCACTCGCTGGGCGGCGGCACCGGCTCCGGCATGGGGACGCTGCTCATCTCCAAGATCCGCGAGGAATACCCGGACCGCATCATGAACACCTTCAGCGTGGTGCCGTCGCCCAAGGTGTCGGACACGGTGGTGGAGCCCTACAACGCCACGCTGTCGGTGCACCAGCTGGTGGAGAACACGGACGAGACGTACTGCATCGACAACGAGGCGCTGTACGACATCTGCTTCCGCACGCTCAAGCTGACCACCCCCACCTACGGCGACCTCAACCACCTCGTCTCGGCCACCATGAGCGGCGTCACCACCTGCCTGCGTTTCCCCGGGCAGCTCAACGCCGACCTGCGCAAGCTGGCCGTCAACATGGTGCCCTTCCCGCGCCTGCACTTCTTCATGCCCGGCTTCGCGCCGCTGACGTCGCGCGGCAGCCAGCAGTACCGTGCCCTCACCGTCCCCGAGCTCACGCAGCAGGTCTTCGACGCCAAGAACATGATGGCCGCCTGCGACCCGCGCCACGGCCGCTACCTCACCGTGGCCGCCGTCTTCCGCGGCCGCATGTCCATGAAGGAGGTGGACGAGCAGATGCTCAACGTGCAGAACAAGAACAGCTCCTACTTCGTGGAGTGGATCCCCAACAACGTCAAGACGGCCGTGTGCGACATCCCGCCGCGCGGCCTCAAGATGGCCGTCACCTTCATCGGCAACAGCACGGCCATCCAGGAGCTGTTCAAGCGCATCTCGGAGCAGTTCACCGCCATGTTCCGCCGCAAGGCCTTCCTGCATTGGTACACGGGGGAGGGGATGGACGAGATGGAGTTCACCGAGGCCGAGAGCAACATGAACGACCTGGTGTCGGAGTACCAGCAGTACCAGGACGCCACGGCCGAGGAGGAGGAGGACTTCGGCGAGGAGGCCGAAGAAGAGGCCTGAGGCGGGAGCCGCCCGCCGCCATCGCAGAGCCCTCGTCGTCCCGCGCCCTCGGAGAGCCCTCGTCCCCCTGCCGCGCTCCCGGCCGCTCCGCAAAGGCGGCCGCCATCGTCCCTCGCTGCCGTCACCACGCAGAGCCGGCCCTCGTCATCGTCGTC